CGACTTGGTTTGCAGAGACACTGCATTGAAGTTGAGCAGTTTGCAAACCTAGAAGAGGGCCCAGACAAAGCCGCAACATTCAAATGCATCTCAGCGGGGCATCCACATCGCGGAGGATGAGGCAAGGCGGAACCTGCGGCGGTGCCGCCGCTGCTGAAAGTCCAGACGTGCAGCTGCTGCGACCGTTCTTCCACACACACACACACACACACACACACACACGTCCATCACCAGCGATCCGGCCCGCCGCCTTGGGACGACAGACAATTACCCGCCCATTTCAATCCCCTAAAGTGCTCCTAGGCAGATCCCGAGGGGCGAGACATGGCGAAATGAAGGCTGGCGGACAAAGATAAGCACATCTCAAACCCGGCTAATGGGAAACTGCCCAGCTCTGTAATTGGATTGACAAACAGAGACAGAAACAAGAAGCTCGGGCGACGACGCGCCAATGGCAGGTCAAACCATCGCGCAATGCCGACCTTGCTAGCACCGCATTCTTTCCATTACGTACAAATGGACCCAGCTAAACGTCCAAAACGCCGTGCATGCCGTCATCCACCAGGCCGACTGGCCTTCCGTCTGCTCATATGTCAACGTTTCCCCCTCACCGTCGAAGCGGGCATCTCCGCGGAGGTGTATGCCACACGCCCAAAACGAGGTCACCACGAGATACTGCGCCGCAAGGTTTGTGATGCCAAGCTGCAGTTGTGTCGTTGAACACAGGATGGAATGATCCATACGCAACACACCATTTGTGACCATGACTTTTCTTCCGCTCAGCAGCCAGCCTCATTCTGGGAATGGGAGGGCCACCAGCTCCAGCATATTGCTGCTCCGGATGCTGGTCTAATGCAAACAGGGCCCGCTTCGCTGCCGTCAATTTGCGGATTTTGCGGGGAAGATGGCCCATGCCTTGTAGGGCACCGTCGTACGGATGCGCCAGCTTTTGCATGTCGGAACGACGCTTCCCCTACACCACGGCTATGGAGACGACGCCGACGAGACGCAGGTTGCGTGCAATGGAACAGAAACACCGGGAAACCACCATGGCCGCCCGACCGACCTCGTGCTCATCGTCTGCGGTTCCGTTAGGCTCGCCGCGCCCCTTCGCCGCCGGCCGCATCGCAAGGGTGGGCCACCGGGCTTTTACGTCACAGTTTCGATCCTGTCTCGCTCGTTGGGAAAGACCCCTCGTCACGGAAGCAAGCGCAGGGTCCGATTCCCCGGAGGACGGCCGCCGCCCTCGCACGCCATCGGTCCAGCCAGCTTTTGGTTTTGGGGGGCTTTTGGGGGGGGCAAAAGCCAAGAGAACCCAAAGAGCAAGAAATCCGGGGTCACGGCGTCTATTGCTATCAAGAGCCCCTACCTGGGAGTCAACTTTCGAGTCACCTGAGCAGACTCATTTTGGTATCCCTGCCGCTGGTCTGGTGGTCAAGCTCTTTCCCCCACGGGCCCATCTTCGCTGTGGGCACCGATATTGCGTGTTGAGGGATTCAAAAGGTCCCCAGCGTGTGCTTCTCCACCCGGCCAAGCTGTTGTTCTCGCCAGGCCCGGAGGACAGAAGCAGCTCGCGGAGCCGCAGCCCCATGTACCTGTCCCGGCCAGGCTCCTGTTTGCTCGAGAAGGTGTGCGTACATGCAGACGAAACGCGCGTAGGTGCTAGGTTCAGCTCCATCAGCTGCCGAGCCCGCCCTGGCAGCGGCATATGGTGCGTGGCCGTGAAAATATGCAAACCCTTGTAGCTCATTGTAGAAAACGGCATAGGACGTTCCTCTGACCCCTCAACCTTGTTGTCCCATGTTCGGGTCCCAAGCCCCGGCAGCCGAGAAGTCAAAGTCGTTGGGGAGCGGTCCTCGGTCGAACCACGGCGTCGACTGGGCCGCGTCGAAGTCGCCGATGGGATCGTTGTTGGTTTGGCCCATGATGTTGTCAAAGTAGCGCTGTTCCGAGTTAGGCAGCTGTCTCCCGGCGAACACTTGCCCTTGCTGGATGAAGACTTACCCAGTCCATTTCGTTGCCAACCTCAATCCATCCACGGTCGAGCGCAGCAGAGTCGCTCGATCCCAAGCCCGGGCTGACAAAGCTCAGGGGCTGGAAGTGATTGGTCACCTGGTTCGTGACGCTTGAAGGAAACGATGCCGCGTCTATTACAAGAAGTTAGCCATTTTATAGAGGACACTCTACGTGTGAAGAAGTCAAAAATGTCCTTACCGCTGAGTGAAAGATTCGTGAGGAGCTGCGCGTCGCGGCTGGACAGTGTCCCCGATGTCCCGGTCCCCTCGCTCCACTGCACCGAAGCCGTCTGCCGCACGCCGTCCTCCTTCGGCGGCGAACTGGGCGGCGAGCCTAGCTTGCCCAACATCGTCTCCAACACGTCCGCCGTCTTCTTGATCTCGGGCACGTCCGCGGCGATGCTCACCCAGACAGAGTAGGACCGCTGCAGGAGATGCAGGAGGTGCTCCTTCGTAGGCCTGGGATTCATCCTGTCCATCCACTCGGGCAGAAACTCGCCGCCCTGCTGCCAGAACTGCTCGTGCCCGACGGCGAGGTACAGAATGATGGCCGCGAGCAGGAAGTCGTGCACGGCCAGCGAGGAGACGAACCACCCGTTCTGGGCGAGCATGTTGCCCGGCTGGCAGGCGTGCCAGATGGTGTTCTGGAACTCGAGCAGCGTCGTGGCGCCCTCGAGGCACTGCCAGCGCGAGTAGTCGTGCTCCCTCTTGGGCACCGGCTCGAGGAGGAAGCGGCGGTGCAGGACGCACCTGCTCTTGTTGTACAGCGACGCCAGGCCGAAGCGCTGGATGACTTGCATCGCGGGCGTGGTGACGCACTGCTCGAGAGGCTTGACCATCATGAACTGCGGCACGGCGCGCCAGGTGTCGTTGAGCAGGCCGTCGAGGCGCATGACCTCGGCGTAGGGCGGCGGGGCGAGCAGGTGCGCCTGGCGCGCGACCTGGCCGAAGACGCGCATCAGGGAGGACTTGGTGATGGGGTACGTCATCTCGGTGTAGTCGGTCAGGGGCCGCGGCGGGGGCAGCTCGGGGGTGTGCTCGTCAAAGTCCTCGTCGACGAGGTTGCGGGGGAGGTCGACGTCGCAGTCGATGCCGTTGAGCATGCTGGGCAGGCCCATGTGGAAGGAGACGAGGAGGTCCATCTGGACGGCCATGTTCCACATGCGGCGGCGCATCTCGCCCTCGAAGGCGGAGATGTTTGTCAGCTTGGAGGGCTCGCGGTGCAGGCCCATCTTGAGGAGGAGGCGGAGGCAGACGGAGGAGAGGAGGTAGCAGTTCATCTGGGCGGCGCGGGAGATGATGAACTCGGCCTCGACGTAGAGAATGAAGGGCGGGATCGTGCCGATGGAGGGCTGGGTGTACTTGCCCCAGACGAGGCACCACGCGGCGGCGGCGCGGAAGAGCTTGAAGCGGTCCATGGGCGGGAGCGGGGAGTCGGAGGTGAGCTCGTGCGGGGCGAGGAAGGTCGAGTAGAAGACGCCGAGGGACATGATCATGAAGAGGAGGGCCAGCCAGTTGATTGAGATTGCGGAGGGGTTCTTCCAGAAGGTGGCGTACTAGGAGACGGTTAGCATCATCATGGGTTTTGGAGGTCTGATGACGAACCTGTTTGACAAACGTTGGCCTGTGGACGATGTCTGCTCTGTGTTAGCGATGTTATACAGGATACCCTTTGCTAGAGAGTTGCTCACGCTGTGATGGGCTTTGAGAGGAAAAGTATCTCATGACGAGACGGTCGACAATCTTCTTCTCAGGGATGAGCCTCATCAGGTCTTCCCGGTTACGAGGCATGTTCCTCGAAAAGAGCAACACATCCGGCGACTCGAGCTCATCGGTCTGATCAGGGCTATCACCGCTCCAATCTTCATTCACTTCAGGCTCCTCAAAGTAGTTCTTCATGTCCTCGATCTGGGTCCCGTCTGTTAGTCTCTCAGGCCTCGCGATCAAGAGCAGCGGGCAACTTACATCGTCAAGAATCGCCGCAAAGTGCGTAGCCCCGACATACGTCGTCGAGCTCTCCCCCTGAACGAACTGGCCACCGGGCTGCGCGACGCCCTCCTCCCTGGCCATCGTCGGCGTGGCACCCTGCGGAAGCGAAGCACCGTCATCCATCATCGTCCGCACCATGCCCTCCAGCCGTTTAAGCCGGGCCGCCATGCCCTTGGTGGGCTTCTGCTTCTGGGGCTTCGGCGCGTAGATGCACCCCTCCGGACGGGACTTCTTGAGGCACTGCCCGCAGGGTTCGGAGCGGTCACATTTCAGCTTGGACGTGCGGCATGGGCCGCATGAGAGGAGCACGCGGGAACGCTTCGTGGGAGCGCCGCTGCCGTTGCCGTTGCCGTTGCCGTTGCCGTTGGCGGTTTGGGGGTCTGCGCCGCCGTCACTGTTGCTGCCCCCGTGCGGACTCGTCTCAGGCTCCATATTGTGCATCTTATTCTTTTGGGGTGGTTGGGGGGTTAAAGGGGGGAATCTTCGGAGTTCAAGTCCGTGACGAAGGTTCCGGGCCGGGTCTGTGTGGTTGAACGTTGGCCGGATCCGGAATGTGTGTGGATGTTGACGGGCCGGAGGTCACGTAAAAGTGCAGGATTGGACTGCTCGACTGTGTCTGGACAGGGCCCAGATATCTGCAGGATAGAAGGATATGATATCAGTATCTTTTGTTTCTCTGGAAGGATCACATCCCTCCATTACTAGGCAACGATTTTGGCGCCGCCATCCGTCGTCATTCACGGAGATACCCGGTTGTTAACGCCGAATATCTGAAATTGCATCCGCCATAGTCGCGATGTACAATTTTAGGAGGCCAAACTCCATGACCATGTTATGCGTACTACAGATGTGATGGAACCCAGGTCGAAAAACATCACGACCAGCCAGACTTTCTTATAATCCCATTAAACCAACACAAATGACCCAACACAGATTCGCTTTTGTTGTTGTATGCGTTTCCCCAGCGTTTCCCCAGCCTTTCCCTTTAGCATCATTTTACTCCGGAGCACCAGGCAGTCTCTCGATCAGGTACTTTCCGCGGGCGCACTTCATGACTGTTGGATCTGTTAGCGTGCGTCCGCCTGAGGGACTGGAGCCGCGGGGCCACTCACTCGGGACTCCAGGAATCTTGCGTATACGCTGCTGCAAGCCACGATCGTTGGTTGCGACAATGTAGATTTTGTCTTTTTGAACACGGCTGATCAAGCAGTCGTCACCATAGGTTCCCTTGTGATCGCACTTGGCTCTCTGCCACCTCTCGTCGCGGGCGATACGCAGAGGGATGCGGAACTTGGGTCCCAGCTTCTCCAACTCCGCCTACAACCTGTTAGCATCCCGTAGATGAGCCTGAAGGTTCAGAGAGTATCACGTACCATGACACAGTCTGTAACAATCGGGTGGCACGTCGCTAAAAAGGATCAGCCCCTTGTCTTCCTATCCCCGGATCTGGTTCCTCCCCAACTCACCATATAAGCAGTCCATCATCGTCTCTAAGAGTGGCAATTTCATAGAAACGGTCCTTGAGAAGAACGACGTATCTACGAGTATGCTGAAGGGCGGGACTAGGGCCTCATTGTGCTGGAAGAAAAAATGAGACGGGACTTGTGGGATCTCGCGGACGAGCTCGCCGTCGACTCCTCTTCGCTCGCGCTTGGCCTTCTCGACGGCCTCCTCCGCCTTCTTCAGGTTCTCCTTGCGTCTGGCATCGTTCTTTCCGATCACTCGCTTGACCTGACGGGTTGGAAAAGACAGTCAGCATCGTGGAGTCCAGGGTGGAAAAGACGGCCAGCATCGTGAAGTTGAAGAGCCAAAAAGTTTCTTATCGATAAGATGGGTTTCCCCGGTCCAAGAGCTGCATGAGAAGTAGATGAGAAGGGGGCATACCTCGGCGAACTTCCTCGTCTTCTTCTGAACACCCATTGTGTACTGCGCTCGTTGGGCGGCGAATGCGACAGCTGTGTGTGTGGTGTTGATATGGAAATGTTGATTTTCACAAGGCTGAGCGAGGCTATCGGTGCAGCAAGTGCTCTATGGGTGTGGCGGGGCGGACCAGTTGGAGAAAAAAGTTTTCGGTGTACAATCTTATCTCTCGGTGTACGATAGAGGAATCCAGGTGAAAGGTGAAGGAAGGTCTGTGCGTTCGGAGGTCCCAAGGGTCACGCTGGCGCATTTTTGCAATATTGGCGGGGCCTGATCCCTGCCGGTGACAACCACCAAATCGAGGAGGCTGGTTACAGAGCACCAGCGCCAGTCGATCTCAGCTCTTCATTGTCCGAGTGCTTCATTCTGCTTCTTGCAGATCGACTTGAAGTGGACTCTTAGGCATATTCCGTCTTAGGACATTTGGAGAGACACAGAGACCTTGACAGAGCTGAAGCCCCTCCAGCTCACGTCTTCAGCACTCGACCGAGGAGTGGACCGCAGTGGTGGGAATGAGGGGACAATGAGACTCTCAGGGACTGGTGGACGAATGACAGGGGCCTCCGGGGCGCCTTAGCGTTGCAATTGACCGCCCCGAAAAAGAAAGCGATCACTCATTTTCCGATGGGCGTCAGACTGTCGGGCGCGTGGTGCCTTGCAGCAAGATTGCAGTGCGTGTCCCGTGTGGTTTGCGGCTTGCCTTGACTTATGCATAGCAGCAGCAGTTATGACCATTGACCTAAGAAATGGTTGACTGTGACTGTCCAGGCACGGGATAGAGAGACATGGCGACGCGACGAAACGATAGGGGACTTTGTGTGGGGTGCCGGGCCATCATTCGCATTCCAGGCAGTGGTTTCGCCATCTCGTCACATCATTTGACGATCCAATGCCAATGGCCCGGTTTTGGCGAGGACCACCTCCAGTCACCAGTGTCATCACTCGCCGTTGGCCGTTGGGTGGGCTTCTGCCAGGAACAGTGTGCGCTTACCCCGGACGAGGGTTCGTGTTGGGCGATGGAGTATGGATATTCGTGCGGAATGCAGCCACTGTAGCGCATGCTGAGGGCCGTTTATTAGTGGGATCCGCGCTTGATTGGCGATACGAGTGTCGTCCGGGACTTCCATGGGACGGTGCATCGATCAGCAGCGCACTGTCTCGCTTCCCCAGAAACCCAGGCCATGCAGCCAGAGGCCATGCCTCGCATAAGTCCCTGCACTGTGCATGCAGGTCTCTGTCCAAGAAATTGGCCCAAGACCACAAGAATAAACAGAACAGCCCGCGGGACACGACAGCACGTCAGAGCCTTCATTGCAGCAAGATGCGCCACACCACCTCTGAGTCTGGAAAAAGACCGCCCTGGGCAGTCGGTCCGCGCCATAACACGAACCTGCTTGCCAGCTGCTGTGCCTGTGCCTTGACCCGTGGTTTGCCAGTGGCCTGTGTGTGCTGTGCGTGCTGTGCGTGCTTGGTGCCGTTCCTCTAGTTCCTCTGGTTCGTTCCTCTGCATCCAGGGAAAGACCCTTCCTCCTTTTTTCCCCAGGCTGCTTCCCTGTTGCCCGACCCGCTGCTACTTACCCTCTCCCTCCCCTTCACGCACCCTCATCCCTCCCTCTCGTCTCCTGCTCCCTCATCCCTCTCCTCACAGTCCAGCTTCCGAAAGCCGCCCACACAGCCAGCCTTTCAGCCGGCCAAAGCAATGGTCTAGCCCAGGACAGACCTCTTTTCATTCTTTCCCATCCCATGCTGTTCCGCAATTCCCACGATACCTTCGTTCGACTTGTCTGCAATCCCCGGTACATAGTGCGCACCATCTAGTCGACCGAAATTCCACCAAGCCAAACCGCGCCATCCGACCCAATCACGACGACGACGACAGCGCCTTCTATTTTCAAAAGCTGAGCAACAAACACAGCCACACACACCAGCACTCCTTGATCGACCGACACCTCGCAAACGCAGCCCTCCGTAAACGACCGTCGTTCATCATCTGCCTCGCTGTATCCATCTCGCATCTTTCCTGCATTTCATCACAAACGCCAAACTTTAGGATCCGGCCATCATGGGTCCCTCGCGAGTCTCGCTGAAGCGCACGCTTCTCCTGTCCACATTTGCAGCCGTCTCGCTTTTCTCCGCGACAGGTCTGGCTCAGGATACCACTACGGGCGGAAACGCAGCGACAACGACGCAAGCTGCAGCAACAACAGCAACCACAGAAGCGAGCAAAACCTCAAACGCCGCCGCGGTCATCACCAACACCGGCACTATCGAGACGACTGCTGAGAGCTTTTCTGCCCCTAGAATCACCGGCACTGCGACGTCGGCATCAGGAGATGACGCGACAGATTTCCCATCCCTCACCAACCAACCCCTCACCACGACTTACCCTCCTCCGACTGTCCCACCTACGAACAATGCCCCGTTCATGCACCGTTCGAGCGCCCCTCAGGGAACAGTCTTCATCGCCGTTGGTGCCATCCTGGGTGCTTTCGGTCTCGGTATCCTCATCTGGCGCGGCATTGTCGCTTGCCTCTTGCACCGCTCCGTCGCTCGTGCTGCCAACGCTCAACATATCGCGAACGACAAGGCCAGCTTCCCCGCTCCTCCCGCGCAGTTCTATAAGTACACGGATCAAGAGTCTACGCCGTCTTTGAATGCGAACGGGCGCGGCGTGCGTAGAACGCAGCGCGGCCCCATTCCCTCTGCCACCCCTAGCCAGTCCAACCTCTTCTTCTCGCCCACGGCAGCTGGCGGCGGAAACAACCGTGACAGCGTCCGCGTCCGCGATTCAACCTTCCTCCCCTCTGGCTTCTACGCTGCTGGCACATCTTCGCCCGGCCACGCTCACAGCCAATCAATAAGCTTGACGAACTTGCGCCCTGACTCCCGCGGTGGATATGGAAACACTTCTCGCAACACGATGAGAGAATCTACACCTCCTGAGTCTCCTTCTTTCGCCGCGAGACGAGACTTCAGCACCAGCTCCGTCAACTTGGCCGCAGCTCCCGGCAACGGCCAACGAGCACCCAGCGCATACCTCGAGGACCTGCTGGACGAGAACCCCAATGCTTTCCCGCCCAGCGCGCATCGGAACAACAACAACAGCGGTCGGCTGTTTTGAGCGGTTGATTTCTTATGTCGAGGCATCGAGGAGCAATTCTCATTGCGTCATATGAAAATGGCGATATTCACAGCTTGGGGTTATGGGAGGCACAAATACGGCGTCATGGATTACTGTTGGTTTAAGAACGGCCTACTTTTTTTCTAATTATCATTATCCTGGGCCTTCAGGGTTAGGTTTTCTACAGTCTGGTGGGAACAGTCAAAAAAGCAAGCCAGTCGCCCTAATCGGGCACTGCGCGCGGGTGGTGTTTTAATCGTTACCAGTTTGTCCTTGCATACTCAACGGGTGCCGGAGCATTAGACTGGGAGTCGTGGCGGTCAGGTCTGCCATCGACAATCTTGTTTCTTCGATTCTCGCGCCTCGATAGTACATATTCCCGTTCAATGAGCAACTTATTCAAAGCGTGATAGTTTTCCCATCCCGCCGGGTGTTGCTGTGTGTTGCGGCCCACCGAACATCTCCTTGGCAGCATAACTGACACCACTTCCAATGGTCCAGAGGACAGGTCGTTGCTCAGACATCACCAACGTGCATATATACTTCGTCCAAACCGCCGTCGTCCGTGACAACCGAGAAACAAATTCTATAGCTGGGTAAAGCTTGTTGCGGCTGTTTATGTCATCCTAACCTTTTCTCGAACTCATGCTCATCCCGACTTGATCCCGACTTGATCCCGACTTGATCCCGACTTGATCCCGCGTTGAATCCAATTAATTAAACTTTTGTGATGGCGCGCAGTTCCGTCCCGGACCTCGCGAATGCGCAATACCGAACGGACCGAAGCCCCCAAAAGAGCTCAGCTGGCGTCCACCCACCGACTTCATGTTCCCTCAACCGTTGTTCCTCTTGTGACACGACATTCGTGATCGTAACTTGGCAAGCGTGCTCACCTCACCGCCTGTTCTTCAATGTTTTTCAGGAACAGAGAAGAGTTTTGCTGGTGGTATGTTTGTCGGTTAACTTGGCCGAGTACAGACTTACACGGCATATGCCCGACAACGATCCTGACTGTTCTTCTTTTCTCGCCATCACCGACACCCGCCGGATCTCTGTGATACGCCCGCTCCTTGTGCGACGTCGATTCGAGATGTCAGGCGGGCGTATCACGGATACACATGCGCGTTGCTGACGTTGTGGTTCGTGAAGCATGTTTCTGAGCAAGGGCATGTCGGTTTGTTTTCTGTCTCTATCCGAGACAGCGTCTGCGAGCGAAGGTAGGTCAAAGGTACACAAGAACGATGCATCTTCGGATCTTAGCGAGACTTTTTTTTGGGCGCATTATGGTTTTGCTGAGTTTTTGTCTTTCTATTTTGTATAAGATTACGGGCAGCAGGACGGTATCGTCCGAGGCGTTGGGTATGAAACTATGCTGCTCACTAACGGGAGAAAGAGGAAGAAGAAAACGCCATATGTTCCCATGATTACCTACTTGTTTTGTCCCTTTTTGTATTGTTTTCAAAAAATCTTTCGCACGGCAAATGGCCTCTTCAAGTCTGGCGACTCGACTCGCCCGCCTGGTCCTTGGACCCCATCTCCTCGCTCGCGCCGCGGATGTCTTCCAGTCTGATGCCGCTGCGGTCGCACATGCCTCTAAAGATGCCGCCCTCGCGCTGCCACAGCGCCAGCGGGGTGTCGAGCTCTGCGATGCGGCCTGCGTCCATGACGCAGATGCGGTCGTAGCCGATGATCGTGCGCAGGCGGTGCGCGATGCAGAGGAGCGTCCTGCCGCGGAAGGACGTGGCGATGGTGTTCTGGATCTTGTCGTCCGTCTCCATGTCAACCGACGACGTCGCTTCGTCGCAGACGATGATGCGGCTGCCGCGGACGAGGGCGCGTGCGAGAGCCATGAGCTGCCGCTGGCCCAGGGAGAAGTTGA